GCCGTCGCATACCCCACTCAGGCGTTGCATCCAGTCGCTCTCTCACAGGGGATTCTACACAAGTGCGTTTGGCGATGGGATCCTCTTCCGCCGACCTTCGCCGCTTTCCCGTGCTATGTGATTCTCTTCCCATTGACTCTTGCACAAATTGCAGAAATCGCTGTGATTCCCGAGCAGCAGCCGTCGATCTCGGTCCGTCAACCTGACTATTGTATAGCCCTGTGGGAAACGGCTGCCGCCGTCGCATACCCCACTCAGGCGTTGCATCCAGTCGCTCTCTCACAGGGGATTCTACACAAGTGCGTTTGGCGATGGGGTTGTCTTCCTCCGATCTTCGCCGCTTTCCCGTGCTATATGATCCTCGCGGGAGGTCACTCCCATCGGGACGTGGCTCTTCGGTGGCCGTCATTGGGATTTGGTCCCCTTGGCCTGCAGCGATCCTGCCATCGCCGGACCCCGTTTGATTGTTTGCAGGGGTTTGCAAACTACCTTCGCGCATATCCTGGCTTCGACTTCGGGTTCGTGCCTTTTGACTTGACATAGTAGGTTTTACGTGACGCTCCCAAGCTCCGGCAGGGGGCTGGCCTGCATTGGCTGGCAGAGAATCCACGGTCTCCACGGTCTCCATTTGGTTCGACTTTGCTGTCACCTTCTCTGTGCCGGGCGAGTTTTGCGCAAGTTCGTGCTTTGCCAAATTGATCTGCTCATATGCATTGGAATGGACCTGTTGCTCTGGGGTGCTTTCGAGCTCCCCGCAGACTGCATGAGGTGGTACTGGCGATGCCGATGCTTGATCAGCCTGCGAAGGATCAGAAGCATCAAGGTCCACATCCCGGTTTCGGCTGGATCTCCTTGGGGTATTGCACTGCGGACGCTCAGAGCCTTTGTCTTGGTCAGCTTACCGGCGAATAGCAACGTAAGCTATCAGTGGTGAAGGATGTGAAAATGAAGTATGACTTACCTTTCTTGTTAGTTTGAAGCAAGTCGGTGCCCAACTGGCTGGCAGCGCGATCCTCGCTCACCGGACTTGAAGGGTTGGACTCTGCGAAAGTGTTCCCCTGTGCTGCATCCCTTCTTGGTGCAGAGCCGGCATTGCTCAATACTCCATCGTTCAATTCACTCCCTTCACTGCTCAAGTCTGATGCGATAAAAATGTTCTCACAATCCTCGTAGTGTCGAGTATCTCCCAGAGATGAAGCCTGAGGATCATTTCGGTGGTTGTCAGGGTGACCATTGTCAAAAGGATGAGAGTATGTTCTTGTAACCGGCTCCTTCTGCAACCCTGGCTGAGCTGCTTCCAGCTCCACCCCTGAGGCCATCCACCCTTTAGTCTGAGGTGACGATGGCTGAATTTGCTCTACTTCAGCCAATTGATTCGGTGCAGATTCAACATGCCCGCAAAGGCCACGACCTTCGGAATCGTCCTGTTGTAAGAGTTCCATTTCAACCAAGCTGACTCCATTCCCCGCTGGGCAGTTGGAGGTGCCCATATCTTCAAATAGCTGAGGTGGTGTCAATGGACTATCTACAGATACGCGTTCTCGGTGGCCGGCTGGGAGGGTCAATATCTCCACAGGACTAACTCCAGTGGTGTCCGCTGTGTCTTCACGCCGATCTACCTCTTGCAAGGCCTTTAAATCTGTCCCCTGGCCTGACAGCCAGTTCGCAGGCCCTTGAGGGCCGGTGACACTCCTGGATGGGTATTGCAGACATGTCAGATCCAGCCACTCCAACGCATCGCTAACGCGCTCAGTTCGGTAAGACGATCTTGTTGGTCCTATAAGGGATGTCTCAAAATGGTAACTTTTCTTTACTCTAGGCTCGGCAGAACCATCATTGTTCAAAGAAGAGGCGATCGTTTCCGCTGACCCCGAAATCCGTATATTGGGCTCCACCAAATTAGGCAAGTTCGATACAATGCTTTCAGCATTCTGCTTTGTAGGGCAACGTACATCCAGAGCATTGCCTCTGGCCTCCATAGAAGTGGTCATTGGCCCGGGAGACGGTAGCGTAGAGGAAGACTGATCACTTGCATCACGTTCAACATGCCTGCTCTCATGATCTTCCATTTCGCCCGCTCCAAAGACCCCGATGGAGTCAAGGTGGTTTTCTGTCTCCAACAAACTTTGTCCCTCGGAACTTGTCATCAACCTGTCATCATCCTGTGGAACAAGCATCAGATCGTCGAAAGCTGATTCATATCCACTACTTTCCCCGCTATCGGATGACTCTTCTGGGGGTGGCGAAAATCTGTTTTCGGTTTCAAGTACTGTTTCAGGCTCCATCATCCCGTCGGCTGCTGATTCATATTCACTGCTATCCCCGCTATTGTATGTCGCCTCATGTGGTGGCAAGGACTCGTTACTGGGGTGAAGTACTGCCTGAGCCTGAGAAGTTGCATTCCCGCTCAGGCTGGGAATCTCAGCGTACGGCGAAGGCGAGAATGGATGCGCGAAAAGGACACGGTAGATGCACGCCAACTCTATCAATGGAGTAAATTTCTCTAGCTTCAGGCGCCTCTGCGCTGCGCTGGTCCCGACGTTCTCTGCAAAGTCGAAGTACAAGTAACCTCTTGCTCGTTTTGACTTCTTGAGCCACTTCTCGGCCTTTTGCCCTTTGCGCTCCCCCACTGGAACCAGCACATCGTCTGTCCACAAGGGGTTCTCCAGTCCAATGCTAGTCCCTTGGGAAGGCAACATGCATTGAGCAGCGAGGGCATCTATTCGAGGTGAGTGAAAACCTAACTCCTTTGCCGCATGCGCCAGG